CAGGCCCTGGGGCTGGCGGTAAGGACCCCCGGCCTGACCTCCCGGGCCCCGCCTGGGCCCTGCCCCGCGGCCTTGGACCCCCGCCCCGGGCCGGCTGTTCCCCCTCCCCCCGGGACCCGCGCGCTCAGGTTCCGGGCCCCTGCGCTCGAGCGTCCCCCACCCGCTCTTTCTCCGCGGTCTCCCAGTGCCTCAAACCTGGCACCCCCTAAGCCCTAGACGCGGCCAGCCGGACGGGATGCCACCCTGGAGTGGCCGCCCACCTTCCCGCTTCCTGACGCCCCTCCCTCCGGTGCCTCGGGGTTTGCTCAAGAGTTTTTCTTCGCTCTTTGCAAAGCGCCCCAGTTTAGCGAGGCGGCTCACTCAGCCTTTGTAGATGCAAAGCGCAGAGATTCCCCCCTCTCCTTCGCTCTCCGTCGCTTGGCTGGGCCTTCCGTGGTCACCTACTTCCGTTCGACTTTCAGAGCATCGAGGAGCTGATAGCCAAGACGGTCCCTGCCAGCATCCGCTTGAAAAGACCCTTGCGAATGGAAGACCCAGTGTGTAAGTGGCCCCGCCCGAGGGCAGACGTTGGCCTATTTGCTTTTTGTGGGGTGGTTTGGTTTAGGCTGTGAGGAAGTGGATTAAAGTCTAAGGGAGGAGGCTGAGGGGTATCAGGGAGGGCGGAGAGTCCCACGGGGTCCTGCCATCCTGCAGGCGTGGGGAGGAGTGGCAGTAGAGGACACCTCACGTCCCTGGCCAGGGTAATCTTGGAAGCTGTGGTGTGATCAGCATCCCCTTTGTTGTTATCGGGGTTAGCAGCCATCAGTGGTAGATTCCTGCCTTTCTGGTGACCCCACCAGGAGTCAGTATCTTCTGGACAGTGAACACCAACAACTAGCCTATAGGGGCAGGATAGAATTGCCCCCTAGCTGATACGGCTGCAGTGTTTCCGCTTTTTCCCCACAGGGCAGTTGGTGGGCTTGTATCACTGACCTCCCTGATTATGGAGGGATGATGACCCCACTATGCCACGAGGGCGCTTTCTCAATGCAGTTACTCGATTTGCTCTCTTGTATCACGTTGACGTTTCAACAGCTATACTTTTCAGGTCTGAATAGTTAGTTCTCTAGAAAAGCTCGAATCAGATTCGGTTTGCTTAGGAAAATTGTGGACTTTGAGTGGAATTTAATTTTATACTTAAAGTAGTAGTTTTGGGTTTTAGTTTTTATCTCTTTATTAAGGCGCACAGCATTTTGTCACTTGATATAAATGGGGACATTGACCATTGCCTTACAGGGCTTCCGCCTACTCCCCAAACAAACTAAAAACAAGCCACTCAAGTTCTTGGTCTTCCACCAGCCTTTAAAGGGGTTTCATTGGGTGTTTTTTGCCTGAATTTCCAAGTGATTTTCAACTCTTCATATTCACAGGAGAATATCAGTTCTGCTAAACTTTGTGTTTGGGCCTTTCATTTATTGCTCATTTTACCATTCCACCAAATCATTAAACACAATTTAAGAAGTCAAAGCCAAAATTAAAATGTGCTTTTAATAATGACCTGAGGGCTGCCCTTCGGACTTATTGTTAGGTAGATGTTTGACATCTCAGGATTTAGGGGAGAAGTCCTGGGGGGTCACACAGAGCTGGAGGGCTGATTTTAGCGTTTTGTTGTTGTTGTTGTTGTTTTAACAGCAAAGAATTCCTTTTGTTTGTTTTGAGACAGGAAGAACTTCAAGTCATGGATATCTCAGATCAAGGTCTTAGGATGAAAAACAGTATCTACTTTGTGCCTTAATTATCTAATGTTGCTTTAGCAGTAATACACAAGTGAGTGGCTTTAACAAGCATTTATTTTGGACAAAATAAGTCCTAACAATAAGTCCGAAGTTACTCTTTGGGCTGCTAACTTCAAGGTTAGGAGTTCGAAACTACCAGTTGCTCTACAGGAGAAAGATGAGGCTTTCTACTCAGACACCCATAGGGCAATTCTACTTTGTCCAATAGGGTTGCTATGAGACAGCTTTGATTCGAAGGCACCAAGCTTGGTTAGGAAGCTGGAAATCCAAAATCAGGGTACCAGCTCTCAAGGCCGGCCTTCTCTAATGGCAGTGGGGGCAGATCCTTGTCTTTACAGCTTCCAGACCTTGACACCACGGTGCTCTCCATGTGACACAGCATCTATGTCCCCCACGGGGTTACACTTTGGGCCAACTACAATGCCAGGTGTCCAAACCCACCACCCGCTCCCTAAAGATGTACGTACAGTCTCATAAACTCACGGGGGCAATTCGACTCTGTTGCTATGAGTAGGAATTCATTGAATTCTGCTTCTTTTGCTTGCTTGATTAAAAGCAAAAGCAAACTTTCTTCACTTTCTACAAGGAACCATGGTGCCTTAGTTGGTAAAGCTGCAAAATACAAGGTCAGCCTTTCAAAACCAACAGGCTTCCTATCCTATTGCCCGCAGGGGCAATTCTGGTAGGGTGGGAATTGTCTGGAGGGCATGTGGGTGCTGTAATCTCTTACCTGTTTCATTCACAAAGGAAACCCATTCACAAGTGGGATTGTAACACCCCTCAGGGGTTAGGATTTACTTAGAGATTTTGGGGGTCACAAAGCAATCCATAACACAGGCAAGCTTTATTTGCTCTCGAGGGAGGGAGCCTGTTGGGAGCCAGATGGTTAGGGTTGGCTGCCCGTTCTGGAACTTAAAGAGATGCAGGGCAAGAAGGAAGGATAGTGGCTTTTGATTTTGAGGAATCAAACAGAACCCTGATAACATTGAATATGTAGAAAGTGAACCTAAAGCCAAACCAAATTCTGCCGTGGAGTGGTTCTGACTCAGCACCCCTGTAAGATAAGGGTAGATCTGCCTCTGTAGAAAGCCTGGTCTGTGGCCCTCAGAGGGCCTGGTAGTTGTGAACTACTGACCTTGCAGTTACCATCCTAACATCCTTAGTTCCCCACTAAGCCACCATGGCTCCTTGAAAAAATTGAGGATTTTATATAGATATAAATAGCGTTAGGTGAATATTTGAACAAGTGGACAAAAAAATACTAGAATGCCTTGGAACCTTCGACATGAGAATGTAGAGTTGAGCTTGTGCCGTATTGTTTAAATGAGACACCCCTGAAAGGTATTGATGGGTATGCAGTGGTTAAGGACTGGTGGTACTTCCCACCCATCAGCTGTCCAGAGGGGGAAAGCTGTGTGTGGTGTGCTGCAGCTGTTCAGAGGGGGAAGCTGTGTGTGGTGTGCTGCAGCTGTTCAGAGGGGGAAGCTGTGTGTGGTCTGCTGCAGCTGTTCAGAGGGGGAAGCTGTGTGTCTGCT